TACTCGATTGTACTTGTTCAATTTTAACGTCATATGGTGAAAACAATTTAATCAATTGTTGGAAAAACATTGAAGTTCCAGCGCAATGGTCCCGTTTGCCAAACCCAATTACTCACCGACGTTCATTTATGATGTCAGATAATTTAAGGATTCTTATGATCTTTCCATTTGTATTAAACTGTTGTTTAACCCTTAATAGTATTAAGGAAGATTATTTAAAATCTGCATGCGATAGATTACATTTTTCTCAACAGTTGGAAGTAAGGGATTATATTATTTATACTTGGGCACTTTCCGCAAAAGCAGCTAAAGAAGTATTTTCATTAACTATACAACGATCCACTGGATATTCTAAGTTACAAGCTATACTAAATAAAGAACTTGAGGCTTTAATTAAGGTATATATTTATATTTGGTTAAAACTTTAAATTTCAAATACTAATTTTTTAAAAAATTTACTACAAGCTTTTTCCTGATAGTTTTCAAAACCTTCCCAACCTACATATAAACCGTCATTTAGTGAATTATGCATACCAATACGCGACTTGTATTAATACAGCTGTTGGTACAAAAGAGATGGTTCATAGAATATTTAAAGCAATTGTTCCGCATACCAATAAACATAACCTTGAACTTACTCTATTGCGGCATATTAATACTTTACAAACTTTACGATATCTTGTTGATAATGGGATAGACGATCGAATGCCTAACTATTCTACACAATCTATTTTTATGCCATTAATTGCTGTACCACGACTTTGTAATTTGTTATCTGGCTGGTGTATTAATAATTATAGTTTGTCGATACACTGTTTAAGCAGTATATCTAACCAATTACAACCTGAAGGTTTTTTTCTTTTTTTTTTGTTTTGAATACTATACTTAGCAGGTACTTAACAATAAATTTTTTTAGATAATTCAACTGTTATTGTGAATCCAAACTTTTTTAATCGCTCCGAAATAAAGTTAGGACAAAAATGGAATAAATATCAAATCGAAACCGCAGGTTTTGTGTCAACAAATATTGAGACGAACAACCTTTTAAAAGATATTATGGATGCATATTCATTATATTATTCATTTGAACAAGCTCTACTAGAAACGCGAGTTTGTTTTTATGAGAATGCAACATATACAATATGCCAATCTAATGGCGACTATTATGATATAAAATTAAAAATTGGAGAAATAGTTGAGGCTAGATTATTTGGTGAAGATCATTCAAGATTTGGTAAAATAACCGGTATAATTGAGCATTTTTGGAATAACGGTCAAGCATTTATTTTTCTTTGCTTTAATTGGCTAGAAAATTTTAGTCAATTAGATTCTTTACTAGACTGCCCAATTTATCATATCCAGCATAATTCTTCAAATCGAATTCATCCGATTTCTGTAGTATTACAGTCATCGAATATTCATTTTCTTCATTATTGTAAAGCAAGTTGTTCTTTTCAACAACATGATATTACGAATTATGAGTATATTCGAAATATCTTTTTTTTTACAGCAATTTAAGAATAGATTTATTCTAGACTTAGATTTATTAAATATTTACTACTTTTATTTGCATATTATACATTGTAAAAGTTAAATCGATTTTTAATGTGGATATGTGGTTGGAATAAGGGTCACAGATACAGTAAAATACAGTGCTATACCAAACCTTGAAAAGATTGGTGGTGTTTTATTTCTACTGCGCAATCATAGGAATTGTAAAATATCTTGTACTATTCACAATTCTTTCTAATATAAAAGCTATACTATAGTATTCAAGTTATCCATTTAATGCAGTAATGTGAGTTTCAATCTCAGCTAATGTCGAGTCATGTGTCACAAAATCACGATCTGGATATATAAGGAATTCAATTATTACTTTCCAACTCTGTTTTTTTTTTTTCTTGATACAAGATATAGTCATGACGATAATTAATGGATTGTTTGCTCAAGATACGTACCTATATATTTTTTGTTGCACACAGAATTCGACAAATTAATACTATACAGTAAAACTTCTATAAGTTCACACTCTTGGGACCAAACTTTGACAAGGT